TTTGTGGTAGAAACTGACAAATATTGGGGTGTGACACCTTACTTAAATTTATTTGTAAATCTATGTCCCAGATACGTTGTTTAAGGGCAGTTCTAGCATTATCAAATCCTAATAAGCACAGAGTTTGCATAGAGAAGCCCAGCAATTGAATTCTATCTAAGGCTTGTTTTTGCTATGATGATTTGAAATGAGATCCCTAAATACTAACGGGGCTAAACCTATAGGAGACAGTAGCAACTTTAGCCAGAAAGTAAGAAGAAAAAACCATGCTCTGGCATCCAATGAAACTATACCTAATTCTACCCTTAAGATGGCATTTTTGACATTTTTTGGTATCATCAAAATGGCTCTCATAAACTTATTTAACGGGGCTAAACCTATAGGAGACAGTAGCAACTTTAGCCAGAAAGTAAGAAGAAAAAACCATGCTCTGGCATCCAATGAAACTATACCTAATTCTACCCTTAAGATGGCATTTTTGACATTTTTTGGTATCATCAAAATGGCTCTCATAAACTTATTTTGAATAGTTTCAATTGTATTGAGGTTTGCAAGGAAGCAAATCTGAGAGCCATAGAGGAGCTGAGGTATTAACCTTAGCTTGGAAGACCTTGCATGCTGCAGGGATATAATGGGCTCAGTATATTATCTTGTAATATTGAATTGACCTGATACCAAAGAAACCATGAGACTTTTTGTTCTAGTTGTTCTTCAACTTTTTCTAAATTTTAAGCTTTGGTGGGTTTGTAGAAATTTTTTTCCTTCATGATTTCAATCGTATACCACTAGCCTTATTATAACTTGGAAATGTTATCAACAGAGTTAGAGGTTAAAGATGAGATGTATAGAATAAGTTCTGAAAGCTTCATCCTCCAAATTCAGCACATTACTTGGGTAAAGTTATTACTGAAATCCTTTATTTAATCTACTGGGGAGAAAAAAGAGATAAATACTTATGCCAGAACTTAGTCTTTTTTATTTCAGCCCATTGTTTGGTGGAATTCAAGGCATGGTACATACCAACTGGGATGTTTGATAATGTATTTTTAAACAAGAGTTACCCCCCCCTTTTTTTTTTGGTGGCAAATATAGAATTTTTTTTATTGTATTATATGTTGATTTAAAACAGAATAATGAGCTTTGTTTCTGCCAGTTAGAATTTTGTCAAGATTATCTTTTGGGAGGGTTTGAAATCAATTTTGGAAGTGCCATCATTTTTACTACTGCTATACAATCCAAAATGCTTAGATAAATCTTGTTCAATCTTTTTATATCTTTCATATCTTCTTTTTTTCCCCCCAAACAGGGCTATAATTATTACTGAATACTTATTTAGCTTATTTAGTATATTAATTCTTAACTATCTAAAAGTTCAAGGGGAGTGTCTAAGATACAGGAAATATTTTTATACATTTGTCTATGGGGTAGTGTATAAATGCAGACTATTGTGGATTTTCTGAAATTAACTGTTAAGCTGGAGACTCTGACAAATTCTTGAAGCTCGTTTACATTGGAGAAGGCTATGGTCATGTTATCAGCAAATAAATTCAATAAATAATTTTCACTATGTTAATTCCCTGAATTTGGTCATTTGCACATAGTGCAATTTTGGTCACTGAAAGGGGACATCTGTGTTTGATGCTTCTTGTTATGAGAAATTCTTCAGAGCTTCCGGTGAAGATTATGGCAGATTAGATGTCTCTGAAGGAGTGGGGACAGCATTGTGGTGGAGATTGGTGGCCAGATGGTGAATTCTGGCTGGCACAGTCTTTCCGGATAAAGGAGGGATCGTGAGACAGCCCACTTGCACTCTGGACAGCTGCTCCTCATGAAGAGACCACAGGAACTGAAGTTTTGTAGGCTCATGAGTTGAGTGGCTGGGAGTTGAGGGATTTCAGTCAAGCTCATAGCACTAATGCAGCCTATATGGACACAAGGTTTGCACAAGCCTCATTTCTTAAACACTTTTGGATGTAATTAATTTACAGCTAAAGATAAATTTTCTGAGTAATACTTGGATAAGAGAATTCCACTTGGTGAGTCAACATTCTGGATTACAAAGAAAAAAAGGGGGGGGTTTAAAGAGTTAAAAACTTTTGGCAAAAAGCCTAACTAGGAGTTGATGTAGCAAAGTTTAAAACAGATAAAGGGGATCATTATTTTGAAAGATTATTTTTAGTGAAAGTGCTTTTGAACAAATTGGAATTAAAATAGACAAACTGGACCTTTGTGGGAATACTTTTTGTTTACTATTAAAGAGTGCAGAAAATTGGTGAATTTTACAAAACAGATAAAGGTAATATGAGCCAGACTGTGATGCTGACTGTAACTATGGAGTGCCATTTGAGACAAAAGCATTAAGGGCACAGGAAGACACAATAGAAAAAAAGGTGGGGGGGGAGATTGCCCTTTACTCTTCCCCTTGCAATTGAGACACTTTCACTTTTGTATTACAATATTACAAAGGCAACCACCAGAAAAGCGGCAAAAACAGCAGAAGGGAGGAGAGATTGCTAGAGCAAACTGCAGAGAGAGGAATTACACTAGATTTACTTCAGAAAATGTTTGAGGAATTAGGCAATAAGTTAGCTGAATCACTTGGTACTAAATTGATAGCTTTTGAAAAAATGGATCAAAGACTTGTAAAGATGAAACAGGAGATGAAAGAAGAAGATGAAAACAAGTGTATGGAGATGTAAAATTAATGACAAAGTGGACATTTTGGAGAGTAAGATGTTATAGACAGAGAGCTGGAAAGAGAGCTAGATAATTTGGCTCTATTGGAATTGAAAGAGAAGGAATTTTGTTTGAAATTTAGAACAATTCCAGAGGATTCTGGTGAAGATATTAGAGAAAAGTTATTAAAGCTTTAGCAATTTTTTTGGATTAGGATGAGGAGGATACAGATGCAGAAATTGATAAAGTATAAAGAATACAAGATTTATTTAAAACACAAGAATAAGAAATATTCCAAGGGATGTCTGTGACCCCTTTGATATAGGGCAGACCGCATGGGAAAACTGATGGGAAAACACAATTTCCAAACAATCTTCAGACCCACCAGAAAAGTACAAGAAGTGCTAAA